TGGCGCCGGCGGACCAGCGGCGGCGCTCGCCGACCTGCGAGGCCCACACCGCTCACTGGCGCCGGCGGACCAGCGGCAGCGCTCGCCGACCTGCGAGGCCCACACCGCTCAATGGCGCCGGCGGACCAGCGGCGGCGCTCGCCGACCTGCGAGGCCCACACCGCTCACTGGCGCCGGCGGACCAGCGGCAGCGCTCGCCGACCTGCGAGACCCACACCGCTCAATGGCGCCGGCGGACCAGCGGCGGCGCTCGCCGACCTGCGAGGCCCACACCACTCACTGGCGCCGGCGGCCACGCCCCGTCTGCCTGCCGCCCGACGGTGACAAATAAATAGCTTTCTGTTGCTGGCATAGCGTCAAATGGTTGGCTGATCACTGGTCTTTCATTTGGGAGATCTAAGGTGCGTTCGGTCTGCCGCCAATCTCAGAAAATGATGCGGAATGTTGGAAAATTGTCCGGAATGGCGTTTGGCACTACCAACACGTATAGTTACCGCACATGGTGACTGTGTGGGGTGAATCCTGGAAAAATGAGAATCGGGTCAAGACTTTGCCATGCCGCACTACTATGACCGTCGGCATAGGCGGATCCTGGGGGGGGGGGGGGGGGCGGGGGGCACGGGGTCATGACCCCCAAAACCTCTGAGAGTATGTTTTGCCCGCCAAAACATTCCCAGAACTTCATAAAAATTTCGTCTACTTGCCGTCTGTTTTAACTTTAACTGTTCTAGTTGTTTTGTTTTAACTTCTGTTTAATATTCAAAAGCATTTCGGTGCCTTTTTCAGTTTTGAATGGTGTCTCTACTAGGTACTCGCGAGAGGCACCATGCACTGAACCTCGGATCCCACACCAGCCAGCTGGCGACGAACGGTTGCCCCCCCCCCCCCTAAAAAAACAACTCCAGATTAGATCCGCCCCTGATCGTTGGCTGCGCATCGCATATGTGAGACAAAATTGGGAGATTAAAGGAGAAAAAGGGAGGTAAAGTTAGAATCTTGCCACTCAGCCCTTGACCGCGTTCGATCTGTCATCAGCACAATTTGTCAGCACTCACAATAACCCAGTATTCTCCCTACGTCACGTCACGAAACGACAATGTCACGCGGTTTGTAGCGTCACACGCGAGCTTACGCTGCTGCCAGGATGTTTTGTCGGCCCGTCAGCATGGGGAGAAAGCATTACCAAATTCAATTAATCACTCAGACAAAGAAGTGCAAGTTTGATGTGGTAGCTCTTGCGTTTGCGAGCACATTGGGCGGGTTCGGGGCACGCGCCTTTAATTTTGAGGAAATGTGACGTAAGGTAGATAAGAACGGAGCTTGACTGCCAAGAGTAGCCATGAAAGGGTAAATGTCAGCGATTGGTGTGGCGCGTCGTTGCGTGCCCCAGCAAATTAATACCGTTAGGACGATTGTAAAGGTGAGGAACAGTAATGAAGCACCTAGCCTCTCGAGCATGAGCTTTGCTAGTACAAGTAGAAGTTCAATGAAAGAATAGGTTTTACTCCAGTGCAAGTAACAGTGAAGGATCGATAGACATTTTCTACAAAAGGTAGTAAAGACTTAAAATGAGATAGAAATTGGTGACACACTCAGCCCACGGGCGGAATAGCTGATGGTGATATCGGAGCAGGAGACACATTTCTTTACACCATTTTAACACGCGACCGGGTGACTCCCCTGAAGTCACAGAAAATGAGAGAGATAGACACCAAATTTAGAGTGCGTGTTGGCCTATAAGTGCATTAATTTGTGTCATCGTTTGGGGTTCCTATGTAATGATGTCCACGTCAAATAAGGTTAAACAAGGTCAAACTCCAGATTGATGTCCAAAGCACCGCAGACCATTTCCTGCAACCATCGTGAACCTAGATACTTCTTCTAAGCGAAAGGTTACTGGTGCTCATTTAAGGTCAGTGGCCTTGTTTGACCTTTCGGATGCCATGGTAACCAAAAGCATACGAGACTGCCTTAATTTTTACATTTGAATAGACGTCAAAGGTAACGTTAGTCAGCATGCTCCTAAAAACAAAGTGTTGACCAGGATCATTGTCGGTAAGGAAGCTATTTTGACCGTTAAGGGTCCATGGAAGATGCTTAATACGGTTCCTGTCATCAATAAATAAAAAGATGAGCACCAGAATTTACCCTTTATAGCAAGCCCTGGAGTAATAAAACAGACTGGTTTTGACCTTGTTCCGATCTTCATATCTGGTCCCAGATAAATGCAGTTGCTTGTTCAATTGCTATGCTGCCTAAGAAACTACCTCAGAGATGTAAGGCTTCATGTAAGCACTCCGTTGTTGCATCAGATTGGACAACTCCATAGAAATTACCTGCGCTGAATCCATGGCCTGACTTTGATCTCCCGTAGCCCAGCGACCTGACAAGATAAACCAAAATTGTGAATACCAAACGACCCGGTATTCAATTGTCTACAGTCATGCAAAATTAGCCGTGGTAACGCCGCGCCGTTCGAAACTTATTTTGGGAAAACCTTCGGGGGTATTTTGACCGCGCAACCGAGCGCGTTTTTTAAGTGGTGTTTGGAAGCGTGGATGCTGCTCTGATATTACTATCACCTATTCCATCCGTACGTTGAATGTTTCGTCCCATTTCCATCTCATTTCAATTGCTTCCCTTCTCACTTGAAGTGTAAGCTCATTTTTGTGTGGAGAAGATTTATCTATTCTCCACTGCTACTTATCTTAGCATGGAGCCGATTCTTTCACTGAATTCCCACTCGTAATGACAAAGTACATTTTCGAGACACATGGCGTTTTTTCCTGTTCTCCATCTTTTACGATCACTGCATGGCTATCTATTTACTAAGGAACACAGCCACACATCACCAATCATTGTCACTCACCTTTTCATAGCTTCTCTTAGCATTTCAATTCCCTCCTTATTTATCTTAGCTGTATTTCTCCCAAAATTAGACAAGTACCCCCACCCCACCTAACAAGGGCCGCGTTCGATCTGTCGTCAGCACGTTTGTCAGCACCGACCACGGCCCGGTATTCGCCCCTACGTCACGTCACGTGGCCATGAAGTCACATGGCCTGTCACATAGTCATACTCCGGCTGACGATGATGCCAGGATGTTTTGTCAACCCGTCAGCGCAGAGAGGAAGCGCTACCAGATTAAAAGATCACTCTGAAGCGGGGGTTTGATTTGGTCGATCTTGCATTGGCGAGTGCGTAAGGTAGGCTGGGCGCACTTGCCTCTTATTTTGGGAGAAATGCGACGTGAGATAGATAAGGAGGAAGTGAAATGCCAAGAGTAGCAGTGAAAAGGTGAGTGACAGCGATTGGCGTTGTGTGTGGTTGCGTTGCCCAGCAAATTAATAGCATTATCCGTAAACACTTAAAATGAAGGGGAAGAGATTAACATGACTTGGAAATGAGAAAAAGCACGCAACATACGGATGGGATAGATGATGGCTAAACCGGTGCAGAAACCACACTTCCAAACGCCACTTTGTATGTAGTCTGTCGGCGGTAAGCCAGAGTTAGCGTGTGGTCTGAAGTAAAAGGTAAAGGAGGAAGGGAAAGTAAAGTTTAAAAGCTTTTCCGTTATCCCACAAATTGCACGCGCCGTCAGCACGCATGACGTCACTCCATGGGCACCAACGGCCGGCGACATCCGGTCACGCGCCAGTGTGTCGACGCAACCGCTGCCCGTTTCGACCAACAGATATTTCGCGGACGACTCAAGGTGCAACAAAATGCCAATGCATGACGCTGGAATGCTGGAATGCATGACGTCATGCATTCCAGCTGACAAAAATGCTGACGATGGACCGAACGCGGCCTGTAGTCTGAAGTATAAGGTAAAGGTAGAAGGGTAAGTAAAGCTTGAAAACTTTGCCGTCAGCCCACACGTAGAACGCGCCGTCAGCACGCATGACAACACACATTTCACTTGACGATGGTGCTGACAACAGACCGAACGGGGCCACGCTCGCCAACGCAAGAACTACCAAAGCAAACTCCCGCCTCAGGCAGAGTGATTTCCTTATCTGGTAGCGCTTTATCTCCATCCTGAAGGCTTCACAAAAAGATCCCGGCGTCATCGTCAGCCGGCGCGTGAGTTAACAAGCCACGTGATTTTGCGGTGACGTGACGTGACGTAGATCAAATACTGGGCCGTGACTGGTGATGACAAACGCACTGACGAAAGACTGAACGCGGCCCAAATCAAACTCCAAAAACGTAATTGCTTCCCTTTTATTTGGGAGCGATATGGAAGCAGTGTTCCTATCACTTGTACGTGATCGTGACGCAGCAGATACTTTTCTGTAACGCAACAGGTAATTTGAAAGAGGTGGGTACCATTGAGGTGCCATTTTCAGATGAGGGGTGCTCGCTGGGCGCTGTAATAACCCGACTTCATGATTAAATTTTCTCCTCTGTAGCAGGCAAGTCAGTTGGCTTTTGTTGGCTGGGGGAGTCAATCTACCGCATTCATCTATGGGCTCATTAGGGTCTGTGGGGCATTGGCGCTCATGTGAATGTGACAGATATCCGATCTGGACATACATCCCATCATACGGCTTCCTTGGCTCATCGCAACAAAAAGAAATTGTTGCAAAGCGCCTAGACATGCTAGGTGGAGATGCCGCTTGGGTTCAGATTTTGACTTGATTCTTCAGATTGGGGATAGTTTGGGGTTTTACTCCAGCAGACCAGTCTGCAAAATATCCACTGTGGCGGAAGTGTACACAATATTATGCTAAATTTGGGCTAGGCGTAATTGTTCAGATTTGTAAGCTACTTTTGTGTGCAAAAAAGTTTTGCAAGCATTTTTGTCTGAAATTACCTGTCCTTTACAACCTCATGGTTCCTTGAAGTGATGCTCCCATGTGCTGAAATTGGTGATCATAGTGTGCCAAGCTCTGAGCTCTCAGATTTATGGTTCATATACACTGTATTTTTCATGATGATTCTTGCTAAGCTGTTTAGGCATGCTTGGCAAAGCATGCATTTGTACTCAGACTGTCCAGCAGAGGTCCCTTAGGCAGGGAATCAAGAGCTACTATGGGCACTAGTGTATGGTGTACTTCATGGCTGTAAAAGCACCTCTTTTGTTAACTTCTAAATTTTGTTTGATCCTCCATCCCCTGTGGGACTTATTATGCCTGTAAATGCTGGAACTATGGGTTTAAGTTCTTGTTCAGTTTATGGGCCCCCAGTTTCTACAGCTTTCAGAAGAAAGGGAACCAGAATAGGACATGAATCTATTTTTGGCATACTTTTCAGACAGGAGTAGCAAGTTTGTCCTGCTAGGCTCTCCAACTTATTTTGCAAAGATGCACTTCTGATGTACAACCTGCTATCTAAATCAATCAAAGTTTTTGAGAGATCTTCATTGGTTATCCTGAAATGTACACTTATCATTCATAATTCCCTTGACGCACAGACTGTATACGTAAGTATCTCTGAACATTGTGCCTTTTTCTGTTGCAGGATTCCACTTGTTCTGCAACCTGCCTGCCACAGAACATTAGTTTGGCAATGTCTGTCATTGACGCCAGCTGTCCAGTTGAGGTTCAGGTAAATATTTGCAACATGTTTTCCACTCTAAGATGTCACCAAATGACCAGAACTGTGGCAATCACATACTTGAAAACACAGGTGTCATGCGTGGCTTTCTGCCATCTGGCTTTCATGGCATTGGCAAAGGAAACAAGATACATATGCTCACATGCACCTTTATTCCAATGTTAAACAATAGTCTTAAAAAGGGCCTACATGTATGTGCCTTTAAGTTGTGGCGAGTATGGAAAAAAGCCTCATGTGCACTTGCATGTGTCTCTTCCATGGTTATGCACTTCTAGGTTAAGCAGGAATGTAGAGGTACAGGCTTACTTAGCATCTGCCACATTCAGGCCTGAATTCTTATCAGACATGTGTTTTTGTCAGAGTTTTAACTTTCATGGTCAGAATTTGGATGCTTCTGGGAGTGAGTGTTGGCATAGGTTTTCTGCCATAATATTATGTTACAGCTGAATGCAAAAATTGCAATATCAGGGGTTTAAAGCATTAGACACAGCTAGATGAGATGAATCAATTGATTCCAGTTACTTCATCTCCCCAGGAGTGGCAGCCCAGCTTTCTTTGGAGTTCAGGTGTCATGCAAAATGTGTAAAGCAAACTTCAAAGCAATGTTCCATTTTCTATCCAGCCATTGCCCCTGGACGTGTGAAAGGAATACCTTTCCCATCCAGTGTCATACACAGAACATTGCGTTGTCACCCTGATATAATGAAAATTGTATATGTGTTGGATTGCCTGCTGAGGGATGCAAAGGAAGTTATGTAAACAATGATAGCAGCAACTACAGAAGAACTGAATGAGCACAAAGAACAGTTCAGCACAGTCTAGTGTCTAGGCTAATGATGTGAGGAAAATATAATGATGATTAGGACAGATGCACCACTAAATTGTGTTGCCAATAGTATGGCTACCAATGGGTGCAAATTCAATATGTATGCTGATAAACCACTTAATGACAAACAGTGTTAGGGATAACAAACATGACCCTGGTCTTGTGGGTGTCTATATCATTGCACAGGTTTAAGCATAGTCCTGGCCAAACTGCAGTGCATGCTGCCATCCCCCCCCCCCCCTCCTCCCCTCCAGGCTGCACAGTGCCATCATCAGCAGGATGGCGTCAGTGCATCTTAGTGACACAAATTGTATTATCTGCCACATGAAGCTAGCTATGGCCAGCTTGTCTGTTGTGCAGATATACACACAGTGTTGTTTGCTGAACTATGCTTGTATTTTCAACTCCTTAAATGTGTGGACTTACACAAGTAAGTGTATCCTAAAGTGCAAGAGAATTTCAAATGTGGAAGGGATGTCACAAACACAATTGTCTAGTAGGTAATACAGTATTGTCCCGGATATTTGCATCCTGCATTGTACATTCCTTTTGGTTAAGATGTATCCAACAAGTGCTTAAATATAGCATGCAACTGCATGGCCTTTTCAATAGTGCCCATGGGTATGAAGATTTAAGCGATTGGTTTTAAGCGTAGCACTGTCTCGACGCGGGCAGCATCGTGGTGGTTACGTTATCACGTGTATGAGCTCAATGAACACGTTTATGAGCTCAATGAACATGTGTACGAGCTCAGTTATCACATGTACGGGCTCATGAACACATGTATGAATGCAGCGAGCAGCTCTGTGTAAAACCCTTAAAGAGAGTTTTCCACGTATATATGGGGTTTTTAACTGAAGTAGCCATCTTCAGGACCTACATCTGTTTCTTTACAGTGCCCGTCGTCAGTTTCCGTAAATCATGCCAGTTAACTGCTGTGCAGAATTGCATATTAGGACCATTAGAGCATGGGCCGTTTTAACGACGTATGTGATGTCGCTCTTGGTTATCTGACACATCGGTTGTCGTCCTCCAAATCCTCTGTCGGTTTCTTAATGGGCGCAAAAAGAGCGACGCTCGCCGCAGCGTATCGGTGGCATTTATTCGTATGTGATATTTGGTGTGCACCAGGCTCACAGCCCTGCAAACATTTATTTAACTGTGTTCCTTTACCTTGCCGTGAAAGTGGAAGCCTTCTTTATTCATTCTCCAGTTGAAACCGCATCGCAACATACGCTGAAAGGTCAGAGACTCACTCATTCACCACGCACGTCTTTCTGTCTGTTATTGCTTGAGGAAATCTGCCCGTAAACGTGTGTAAAAATATCCGATATGATAGAAGTGATCGTATAAATTTTCGTTATGAGCGCTTTGACTCGTGGCGTGTAAAAATTCCAAGCTAGATAAGCGTATGAGAAACCAGGCGTCCGTCGGATATTTCGGCTCTGTGAGCCGATTTGTTTAAGAAATGGAGTCCGACTAACAAGAAGTTTATTCTTGATCTGCTTCCTTGATTGACGTGGTGGACTGCTCAATCTCCCATGAGGTTTCAGCCGTCTCCAAATTCCAGAACAGGCTGAAATGTGCCTTGATTTTGTTTAAGATACGTTTATTTTGGTTGTTCTCGCTGGACTTTTGGGAAAGAATACTGTGCCATTGTGTATTGTAGTGAAGGTTGAGCTCCGATCTCTTTACCGTATATTCGTTCTGTAGCAGTGATTGCAGTCATAAACGGTTCTTAAATGCGATCGGGCTTTCAGCGTCGGATCCACATATACTGACCAGCTTGCATGGAGCGGTCAAAATGTTCATCATCCACTGGGTACCGATCTCTTCGCTACTTCTTTACGTCTGGCAGTGATGTATGATGGTCTTGTCAGGTGCTCACACATCAGTTCGTGCCTCCATGTACCAACTACGTTTTCTACTCCGAGCCAGCTCGGCCAATCGGATTTGTAAATGACTTTCTTGAAAAAAGCTGCGTTGGTGTGCTTACATGCTCCGTTAGCCAGTAAGTCCACCACTCATTAGCCAAATGCCGAATTGCCCGCGACTGCATGATACCGTCTTCAGATTTGCATAGCATTTCTACGCAAGATGGCCAGGGAAGTCATTAATTTGAGGGCTATTCCTTCAGCGGTTGAAACACTGGCTTAGGTGTTCACGATCGAAAAGAATGCTCCAATTTTCAGGAATGTCGTTTGACTTTTGTTCTAAAACACTTTTATCGCATTTCAGGATTTCAGGTTTCTACAACTGAAGTCGGCTGCGTTTGAGGGAAAGCCGGCCTTCTCTGTCGAACACAGCTCTTCTCTGGCTGCTTGCAACAAATATGGCATCCTTTTCGTCGCGCTTGGGAAGACGGTCAAAGGTAACTAAGATTGTTGAATGCTTTGATATTGTTATCGTCATCATAATTCCTCCACTTTTGCGTATTTGATTTCCTATAGTAATTAAGTATTCCAAATGGTTGACCGGAGCATGTTTCTGGGACTCATGTCTCGCGCCTCTCGGCGCCTCTCGACTGCAGCTTCAGCACCCTCCTTTCAGGCTATGGCAATGCCAAAATGTCGTTACCGTCATTTGTTAGCCCATGAATGACCTCTGAGGGGTGCAATGCTTATCTGTTTTTCTAAAATTTAGGCTTCGTTTGTAGTAACGTAGATTACTTCTCCTTGAAACGCTTTATAGGATTCGGCCTGCCAAAATGTTTTACTTTCTCTGGAGTGAGTTCCGAATTCAAATATCAGTAATTTTGTCAGCCACGCTAACGAAGGAGAACGGAATTATCGTCAGTTTTGCAATGTTTTATGCCGTTGACATTGCTGTAATGCTGTGATTGAAAGCGCTTCTATATTCGAGAGTACTACTTTAATTCTTGCCGTATTTGAAATACCACAGGTTCGCACCGGGCTAGTGTTAGAACCAAAATTTCGTAGAAATATATATATATATATATATATTTATATATATAGCAGATATAATAGTTTATTGCCGCTCAAAGAACGAAGTACGTGACAAAAAGAACAGTCTGACCAATCAGAAGGGATGACGCAGATACCTGCGTGATTGACTCAAGCTTTTTTCGTCTACCTGTTACTCAGCCATATGCTTCACGTGTATTGCCATACACATGGTCTACACCATTTGCCGTTTCGCTGCATGTGTTGGCACATTTTATGATATGCACAAACTGATGGCGCCCTTGAATCTGTCCTGATCTTCACCAAACCTTGCCCGTCGTCGCCGGCCACTGGGCGTCGCCCCTGCCCCCCCCCCCCCCCCCGCCTGCGGTGACCTCCCCCCCCCCCACGTGTCCGCCAGCGGTGCGGCTGGGCACTCTGACGGCGCCAGAGCCGGAGCGGGACGCAGCGACGCTCACGCTGGCCAGCCTACGGCTGGCGGCGGACGTCACGCACCTGTCGCTCAGCTGCGACGAGCTGACACTGCTGGTGGCCACCACGCACCAGCGCTGCGCTCACGGCTACCTGTACGACGTGCGAGCCTTCTGCGGACAGGTGGGAGCCGCCTCCGACGCCCGGCCAGGCGGACAGATGAGACCGCCAGCAAGGCCGGGCCAGACGGAAAGAGGGGGAGGGGGAGGCGCCGACGCTGGACCAGGCGGACAGATGGGGGCCACCGCTGAC